TTTTTAGGGGGGGAGTGGGTTATAGGCGCAGCCGGGACTCCCTCGACTGCCGATCACACCAGATTCGGCGACACTGGACAGCCAGCGAGGAGGCCAGCTCCCAGACCGACTGACAGGTCGTCAGGGAGAAACAACCTAAGAGCGATAACCCACACAGCTACGGTTGATACGGTCCGTCCGAACGGTGCTGGCCGAGACAGCAAAGAAAAGGCACGCGCATTCTCCGCGGACTGCTTCCCAACAGCGCGAGGGCTGCAGGTCAAACGGGGGAGTGGATGAAGGGTTGGACTTTCGAATCACAACGCGAGACACTGGGAAAAGCCCTCCCAGATCTTGGCCCAGCGCTAGCCCACCCAGAACCGTGCCACTGGAAAACCCAAACTGGCCTGGGACGGCAGCTATTGGCCTTTCCATTCTCGCTTCGTCGGGGGCCATGTCAACGCTCAGAGCTGGACATGGGCCACAGAAAAGCCCCCGTTCCTCGCTCGGGGTTTGGGCAATCCTTTGACCCCGTACGAATCCAATTTGCGATTGGCGCTGCAGGGAAGAATGACGAGCAACCTGACAGGAAAGGGCGAGACATGGCTGGGGGACAAGGGAACTCTACCTATCCCCTTTGGCTACCGTCGCCGTCCTGGCTGGACGCTAGCGATGATGATGTAGTGGAGCGGAACGACCCAGTGCGCTGGTTTGGGTCGTCTGGCGGAAGAGAAACCCACTCATCCACCCACATCCCCTTGTTGCCAAGACTCTTCCACTGACACTGACAGTAGGTCATTCAGGTTGACCGGTACGGTCGGACAAGATGACTGGAACGGCAGGTAGCTGCGAACAGGAATCATCAGATCATTGCTTGCGTCCCTGCTAACGAGGCGACGTCAGTCCAGTGCAAAAGACCATCGCGCGGTGGCACGATTGGACTAGGGGCTCGTCATCCTGATTGCTGGGATTTCTCTGCCATGTATATCCTTCAACTGTCGAGGTGGTACCAAGTTCAAGGCCCCAGATTGACTTCCCTGGAAAAAGCCAGACCGAGTGTGGGGACGCCCTCTTGATCGGGAACTCGATGAGGCCCAGGGAAATTTGTGTGACGCCCGCAGGGCAGCAGAAACGATATGTTGCCTGGTCTGCCCGCATTTCGATCGCCAAGCCATGGTGCAGCGCGCTTCTAGCAGGTGGAGGGAACATCTGAGGCATTTCATGGCCTGAGAGAGATCCTCTGCTGGCGAGAAGCACAGCAAATTGAGCAGCGGCGGTGTAGATCTTCCGGGGCCTGGCGTCCTGGACGCCCTGGGGAATGGAGAAACACCTGGACCGGTACCAGCGGTGACTGGACTTGGGTGTTGCACTAGGTCCCTGATCAAGCAAGGTGGCCGGCGGATTAGCATCTTCAGCAGGACAGGCTGGTGACGACGGTGCAGCGTCAGTTTGATAGCCAGGACATGACGCGACCCTTGACCACAAACACAACCAGCTGATCTACAGGTGCTTTTTGGCCGATATGCCGACGACGGTGGTGGGAGCGCGGGGCGAACGGGGGATATTGGCCTTTGTCGCTCCGAAAACTCCTGACGATCTGTCTGTACCTTGCTGAACGTGATGTGATGCAGCCGGAATTTCACTTCAAGGCTAACCGGCAGCAGTCACCACCCCAACACCGTGGTTCACCATCTCGTGGTACTAGAATTGAGGCCGCTGTAGCACTCTCGACTGTGCCATGTGGACTTGAAAGCCCCGTTCCACCCGAGTCCGTTCCGTTCCGTTCCCTACGACCCGAGCCGTTGGTTTGGGACGAGTCAGTAGTTAAGGAGGCTACTCGGTACAGCTTCACCCCAGGAACCAGGGACCGAACCACCTTTGGTACACATGCCCCATGCACACCGGTCGATGAGGGAGGAGCCATGCCATCCATGCCCAGTGCTGCAGCTCGGTGGGTCAAACCTGTCCATCCCAAGGCGTAGGATGGGATGGATGGCCAGGACATGGAGAATCATGGACGGTGCAACGTGTAAAGGATGCGAGCTGCTTCTTGATGGCACACCGGTATTTTGGGTCTTCGGGCCTCCTGGCCCCCAGTTGTGATGACAGTCCAGTCTAGGTTCACTGTCATCTAGACGGAAAACTTTGCTGCTAACAGGTACACCGGCCGGAGAGAGCCACGGCATGGCTGAATATCGATTCTCCTTTCTTCCGCCAACTGACGCTCTCGCGCCAAGAACGGAGCAGACGAGTGGCCAGTCTCCTGGGTCCACGCTCGTTTCGAGTCTTTCTTATCTAAAGGCGACGCAGCGTCCTGGTTGGCGCGATGCTCGAAATGATGGGTGCGGTTTCGTTGCCATTTCGGGCAGTACTAAGGAGCAGAAACCCCAGCCCGTCGTCTCTTCAGTATTTTTTGCTGCCCCGCAGATGGAAGAACGGCGAGAAAAGGCCTGCAACGATACATGGCGCCGTACTTGGATGGGGCCATTGTGAAATTGGGGCCGGCTTTTGGGAGACGCGGCCCCGCTGATAGTCGCCTGGCAGTCTTCTTTGCGTCTTCGAGAAACGCTGAGTCGGCCAGGGGTCTCATGGCGACGCCGAAGAGGGGGGAGTGGGTGATCCACCTCCGTCATTCACTCGCTGTGGGCAATGTACCATGTAGTGCCCGGATGCTGTTGGATGTTAGGAAAGGTAACAGATAGCATCATGTCCGGGCGTTCGTAATGGCCCTTTAAAATAAATCTGCCCAGGTTTCTGGTGACGTACTTAGTAACTTAGCGAAAGGGTGGTCGCATTTTCATCCCACGTTGCTTGAGGTCGCCTCGACTTTGGGAGGGTTAGGAATTGAAAGGCCCCGCGCGTGAAAACTTGCATGTGTTACGCGAAAAGGACGATCTGCATAATCTCGGCGTGAAAGGCCCCGGATCGATTTTTAGTAACGTTTACCTCCACAATGCAATAGCAAGTCCGTGAGAACCGTTTCGAACCCATATTGGGCTTATTCATGCAAGACACTATGACGGCGACGGACTGTCGGAGCAATAAAGAACAGGTACCTCACCTCAGCTACCTGTGTAGAACAACCCGAGGCAGAGACCGGGAGCGAGACATGCTGACAAGTCTGGCTGGACAGCCGACCAAACAACGCCCCTGGCTCGAGTCAGTCGAGATATCGAACGCTCGACACGCCAAAACTTCGCTACGACTTCGAGAAGGCCGTGATGCGGGGGCGCTGAAGGGCCCGAAGCACATCACTTTCTCATCTCTCCCTCCATTCCCTTCATTTGTCACAAGCCACGCCCCCCCTGGCCATGTCGGTAGATGCCGTCCATGCCCCCATCCTTGCGCGCCAGACCACTAGATACTACCTTTGGTCGCCGACTTGTCGTCCACGATGAGCCAGGCCGGCCCTCCAGGTTGGGAGATGCACACACCGCATCCCGCCCCAACTCTGTCAATGTATCAGGTTCAGTCCCTCTGGGAGGCTAACTGAATAGGCCAGCCACCCAGGACCGCGTGAACGTGCGCTCACCCAGCCAGCTGCCAGGCTGTGCGTGCAGATCGATGCACCCTGGCTGTTGGTCATGTGCCAGACTCTCCACAGGCATTGGAGAACCGACCGCCCTGTCTGGCACGTCTCGCCAGTGAGGGCAGATACCAAGTGACCGCCACGGAGGACTGCCCAGACTACCTGGATACCGGAGCACAGTAAGAAAGAGACCCAAGAGTTCTGGTCTGGTGGATCAGTAACCTCTCGCTGTCCGTGTTACTCTCCGGGCACCAGCGTCCCAGGGTTTCGGGAGGTGGCATTTTGCCCCCCGGCTCCTGACTCCATCGACTTGTCAGTTGAGTCCGTAGTCTCTCATCTCAATCTTTGGGTCCGTCGAATCGCAAGCTGAGAACGAGCTGGTTGCTAAACGGGAAGCCCCTAAAACACCAGTCTACCCCCCCCCCCCTTGTCCGCCATCTGGGCGTTCTGCCACCCCTGCTTGCACGCCAATTGACGGAGCCCCTCCACTCCACCTTGCTGGCCCTGACTGAGTCTCTCTCAGTTCCTCAGACGTCTCCCGAGGCCCGCTTCGACGTGCCGCAAGTACCTGGAAGTCGATGCTCTTCCTGCCCGATCCATCATGTGTGTGCCACTTGTTTGTGGTGCTTGCCCTTTCACGGAACCGAAGGGTAGACGAGCTATGGACCGAGATGTACCAAAGTATCCCCCTGGTTTACTGAGCCTTTTCTCCATCCAGCTCACACCAGACATCGGCTGCCTATCCCCAACCCCCATGTCCTCTCGCTCTCCCTCCCATACTTGCCACCCCCGAGGAGCGCAAAGCAAAAGAGAGAGAGAGCTAGAACTGTCCGACGCTTTGGGGCCAGTGCAGTGGCCAAGTTGACGGCAGATCTTACACAGTACGCAGCATCGCCTCCCAATGTCCCGCCGTCAACCGACCCAAGTAGTTAGTCGAGTGCGTGAGTTCCGTCCGTTTGTGCATGATCCAGGCACCGGGGCCGTCACCTAGGGATCCTGGCGTTTCCCAAGCTCCATGTCAAGTCCCGACCACGAGTCCGTTTTTCTGCCCACCGACTAGGTAGGTACGCTGCCTCCCACGCGCCCTCCGCCGCCTGTGCAGTGAACCAGCATACTTGCGCAGACTGAAGCTTAAATAAGTACTGGCCGCCCACCCTCCCTCCTTGCATCATGCCGGCACCTTGCGAACGTTTCTTTTCAAACTACAACACCCGAAACAAATATCCGCTGCTTCCCTCACTGACGGCGGCGTGATTTCTAGCAGTCTTACCACTTGCGCTTGCACCAGCAAAACATCTGCAGCTGAAGAACAAACGCCCCTCTCCTCATATCAACAGGCCGCCACGCCCCCCGCCAGGACGACCAGCTAGCACTTCTATCGCTCACCAAAACGCTTGCCTTTGCCGGGACGCCTCTATTTGGAGGCACGAGACGACAAGAGCAGAAACACGTCAACAGAATTTACTACAACAACACACGAGCACCGAACAACATGTGTGACTGGATCCAGGTAGGACATTTTGATCCTCCACCTAGAAGGGGGGTTGCTGATGAGGATACAGAGGGAGTTCCACTGCGGCCACTTCCGCTGGATCGTGTCGAGATGGTGCCCGGAATATCTTAGGACACAGTTGAGGTGCCCTCTGAGTGTCAGTCATTATGAGTACAGGTAAAGATCCTTTCCCCCTCCCCGTGTTGGCTCTGCTCCTCTTGGAAGCTTTGACTGACCCGTCTCACACAGGGGTGACGAACAGTGTAGTACGTCCATCCTCCTCTCTAACCCCTGTTCAGTCATTCCTCCAGCACGACATGAATCCCTCTCCCCAGCCATAGTGCCCATCAAACTCTACCATCACCCCAAATTTCAAGCCCCCCCACCCCACCTGCAGGTGCACTGAACGAAGTCAATGCTTCGATGGATAGCGAACACAGTCCCCCCACATCCCGAAGTCGCCCACTGTCGCCATCTTTATCACTGTGGGTGTACAGGACTAACAGAAGTCTCTAGGCCACTGCAAACCCCGACAGACTCAGCCTTGGGAGAAGATGATCCGCCGTAACAACCAGACCATCGGCCTCTAGAGCGGCCCCTAAACAACGCCTAAAAAAGATCAAATGCGAAAATTGGCGACAAAAAAAGAAAGTCGGAAAAGACTAGACACGGCCTTCATCCCCAGCACCGTCTCGGCACATTAGCCTGGCGTTAGCAGTCACAGGTTGACACTACGGGGGGGTATGTCACCAGTCTGTCATTCCTCGCATCATCGCATACTCCCCCGCCGCGCTTCTATCTGGTGCGGTCGTACCGGCGCCGTTCTTCACGAATGATTGCCCCGTCGTGCGTATCCAAAGAATCCAAAGAATGGCCCCTTCTCATGCTGCAGGACTGGCACCTGTCGCCTTTTCCGCTCGTCATCTCTTCGGGGCAATAGGTGCGAGTGAGGCACAGGTTCCCGGCGAAGTCATTTGCGATGCTGTGAGGACCAGTAGGGAAGCACAAGGGAACGGCACCAGGGGAACTCAACGCTGTTGCGAGACAGCTTGTACTTCTGTTTCATTTTGTTAAGTTTGTGGGGAATGGGCCAGCCATGAGGAATACTTTGCTTTCGTGGTTCTGCTGTTTTTACCTTTCTCTCAGGGGCCAGGGGAGTTTTCGTCTTGGATAGTCTTGCTTTTTGGGGGGCTTCGGTGGTCAGGAAAGGGTCGAGGCGTTCAGAGCGTTTTTTTCCCTGTCTTTTTTTTATTGCTCTCCTGCTATCAGGAAACCACACTTTCATCGCCATGGTTGTGTCTGCCAAAGAGATCGGACAGGTCACATATCGTTGAACCTTTCAAGGCTGGATTGGGAAACGGGGGAAAGGGATTTTGCATTTACGGCCTCCACAGGCACATAGAAATCAGTGGCATGCGCAAACAGAGCAGCAAGCAACAGCCAAGAGCTGCAGCCATCAATCAATCACCAACGAGGGATCAAGATCTCATGATGGTTTTCTTTTTGGATGCACCCTTCATGCGAGTGCCCATCACTGTTCGTCGTCGGCCACGACAGATGAAGCGGGGGAGGGGAGCTGCCCAACAATCAGCCGGCCGGTGTGGTTGTTGATGCCCTACGTAAGTCAAGGAAAAAGGGAATCCTGGGCCTGTGAGCAGCCGTCTTCCTGCAGAACGTCGTTTCTGTAGGCCGGCACGCCAGCGCGCGAACGGGTCCAGCACACCCTCTCGTTTGCGCGAGGTGATCACGAAGACCGGCGTTTGGCTACTTTGGTCACCGCCTTTCGGACACTTTCTCAAGTCTGTTATCTGGGCAGGGCAACTGAGTGTCATCTTCCCGAAAGCCGCGACTGGCGAACCTTCGCAGACGCGGCCATGCCTGGTTTGGTGAGCTGATGATGATCTGCGTCACAGTGGTTGGTTGACCGGGTTGTAGCGGGATGGCACGTGTAGTGAACGAGGACTGTAGATCCAAAGGAAAAGCCGTCACGCCCAAAGTACCCGTATGGCTAAGGTCGGCAGGCTGAAGGGTATTGACAAGATTTCCCGCTTGAGGACTAATGCAATTCGTCGCCCTCTGTGCCCTACGGAAACCCCCGCGCGACTGAATGTCACGGTAAACAGACTAGTAGCCCCCATTCCCTGTGTAGGTACCTTGTGGGCTCCAGAGTATCGTAACTCGTCCATCACGTCGTACAATGGCCATATGAGATGTCCAGTGTTCATCAGCAACTCGCGGACTGCCATTTCTCACACTGCGCGTCCAAGTCTGTCCCCACCCTCCATCGGCGTCCATCCACAGACAGCGCCAGTACCCGGGTTGGCGGTGTCATGGGCGTTCGCAGGACAAGCCATTTCGCTTACAGCGTGACCACTGGCGACACAGTACTTTTCTTGCATAACTTCCGAAGGTGAGGGGATGGCAGGGGAGGGCGCTGCGCCTTGGGTCTTTTACAGTAACGTAGAGCTCTCGGTCGCAGGGACCCATCATGTGGGTAGCCTTGAAATCATGTTCCATACGGTCATGGCGTGCCCTGCCCGCCCTGGCGCGAAAGAAAACCCACCCGTGCGCGGGCCGTTGCAGCTCCCAGCGGACACCATGGACGGGGTTACAAGGTTAAACGAGAGCGGTCGGCACGCGGGCGGCACCATGCCCATGTTGGATCGGGAGGGGCTGGCCTGGTCGGATGGGAGGGAGTGAACTTTAACCATTGGTTGCTTCGTTCGCCATTTATCGTGGTGCTTTGCCCTATCGGTTACCACATGCATCACGAACTCTCCAGACTCTCGATTGGTGTGCCCGCTACATCACACCAGGAATGCGAAATTTGCAATGGAACCGCGTGAAAGCTTGGCCTCCTCTTGTGACCGTACTCGATCAAACGCGTCCTTCCGTGACCAGCGTGTTTCAGCGTGGGGGTTCGGCTTGGCCATGATAACATGTACAGGTGGTGTGCGATGACTCTGTCCGTGGGGGCGGCCACGTTTTCCTGTGAAGGCATGCCTTGGCTTTGTGTCTTTGGTGAATAGCAGTCTCGGGCGGCTGTAAGCTATAAAACAGAAAGCAAACTGGCACTTGGGAGGCTGCGGTCCGTAGTCCTCAGCTTGCCAATGACCAGGCACCGTGTACGCCCCATTGGATGTGGGTGACAGATGATGTTACGGGGGCGCGATTGCGCACGACATGTTTCTGATGCACTGCGACGCCCATTCAACAGCCGACGTTTCTTCAATGGACGTCATGAGCGGGGAGCAATAAGGCAACTTGACATGTGCAGTCCACTATCCGACCCACAGGGTAACATCAACGCATTGTCTCTCGACATTGATCATGGCTGGAGATGTAGGTAGCTGGCGTTTCCGCACATGTTCACTATTCGGCATTCTTGACCCCTGAGAGGAAAGCCGAGGGAATCAGGTCGAGTTCTCTAGACGATGGCTCAAAGTATTTGCGCAACGGCTAGCTACATTGTGAGAAAAGGGTACTCGCATACCTCGCATGTTTGCTTTTCAGTTAGCCTCGGCACCTCAATCCCTGAGATCACGAGATCAAGATGAGGACGAACAACAGATGAGGTGACAGGGCTCTGCGTCTTTACCCGGCACGACCGGTGAGGGAGCCAAGGCACGCTTCCAGCACCGGTGAGAGCGTACTCCGCATCTTA